CTGTCCCTTATCCCGAGATCACCGGGGTGGAGGTGGCCAGTTGGATTGTCAGCCTGTCCCCAGCAGTTCCCAGACATGGTAGGTGAACAGCAGTGGGAGAAGAACGCAAAAGTCAAAGAACACTTTGTAAAGGCATACATTACCAAGAGCCAGTGTCAAACTGATTGCCGGCAGACGGGTAGTGGAGTGAGCAGAGCTGGCACATTTAGTCAGAGAAGGCTGCCTGCAGGAGGTGGGCTTTGAGCAGGAGAGCAGAAACTTAAATTGTGGAGAAGGAGAGAAAGCGTATAATGTCCATATTGGGAGAGTAACTTAAGAAAAACTATTCTGGAAGGGGGCTTCAGGATCTGTTCAGGAGCCCTCATACATTTCACACTGGGGTCCCTGTACTCCATTTGGGGAAAGAGAACTCTGGAAATGGATCTTGAAACACTTTTCTGGAGTTGTCTCTATGACAGCTAATTCTGCTGGAGCCCTGGGCTGGAGTTCCTGGAGTCTTCTCAGAGCTCAGGGCTTTGCAGAGCACCCAGGCAGGCCCCAGAGTTGGGTTAGGTGTAGGTTAGAGCAGGTGGAGGCAGCTGTGGGGACCTGGAAGAGGGACAGGATGAGAGAATGCCCAGGACCTCGGAGGACCTAGTTGCCCCGCCTCCACTCAGCTCTCAGGTAGCAAGTAGCTGGGTGTGGTCAACTCAGTCCAAAGGGCTGAGCATTTCCCGTCCCCCAGGCTTAGTGACCAGGGCCCATCTCCACAGGCTGAGATTACCCTTTCCCTGTGGCTCTGCCCACTGCACCCCACAGATGCTTGCGTGCACACCCACACTCCTCTTCTGTTCCCTCTGGTGCCCATCCTTGGTTCCTTTCTGCCTCTTGCTAGTTAAGACCCTTAGGGGGCTGAATCCTCAGGCTATGTGTGCCAGGGACATGGACGGCCAGCCAAGGTCAGGGAGGTCGGAGAAGTCTGCCAGTTGTGCTGGGGCATTGGGAGCCTTGGAGTCCTAAGAACAGGATGCCCCACAGCAAAGTTGGCAGGACCGGCCCTGGCAACCCTGCACAGTATGATGACTGCCACTTCTTGTGACCTCACAGGATAGTCGTGATGCCCATCGCCCGAGAGTTCTCTCCAAACCTGGTCCTGGTGTCTTCTGGGTTTGATGCTGCTGAGGGCCACCCAGCCCCGCTGGGTGGCTACCATGTTTCTGCCAAATGTAAGGGAGGCTCAGCTGAGGGGGAGGTGTAGGGACTGAGAGCCAGGCAGCAGGCAGGGTGGGCAGGCATTCCCAAGTCAAAAGGGGAAGGTGGCAGTGGCCAGCCCAGGGCTTTCAGCCTGAGGACTGGATTATGGCAGCTGGTCCTGAAATTCCCTGGGATCTCCTAGCCGAGCACAGCCCAGGCTTTTTCTCAGGATCAGGCCGGTTCACCAAGAAAGGCTTGACCAGGTCCTGCCTATGGAGACTTAAGTCCAATAGGGAGGAAGCTCAGCCATGGGACTCCCCACCCCAGCTGAGTTGATTCTAAGTGGGCTGGCAGCTCCTCCAGAGGAAGTGGGGAGGAAGAAGCAGCACTCTCAGAATAGAGGGCGCCCACTCAGCCCACTTGGCCACAGGACCCAGAGGACAGAAGGAGGAGAGGGTGTGGCTCAGTGAAAAAGACCCAGGCTAGAGCCAGTGCCTCAAGTTGAAGTCTGACCTTGCTGCCACTTACTAGCTGTGGGGCCTTTCCCAAGGCCCTTAACCTCCCTGAGCCTTGAGTGAAGCATACTAGAAGGTTTTGCATGAGATTCAATGTGAAAGCACTTTGGAAATCGTGATTGATACACGTGAGTCACTATTAGGGAGGAAGCAAGCGGGGAAACCACAGGGCCAGAGAATGGGGCCACCTCTCCACTCCCGCCCCTCTGTTTCCCCCACCCAACCTCTAGGTTTTGGGTACATGACCCAGCAGCTGATGAGCCTGGCAGGGGGCGCAGTGGTGCTGGCCTTGGAGGGTGGCCATGACCTCACAGCCATCTGTGATGCCTCTGAGGCCTGTGTGGCTGCTCTTCTGGGCAACAAGGTGAGCTGTCTCCCTCCCCACTCCATGCTTCTGTCAGGCAGGTGAGCCCAGCTCTCCCAGGACTACCCAAAGAGCAGGCAGAAGGGATGGGACAGGGGATGGGACAGGGTCGGAGTGGCCAGGCCTGAAACCAGGTAGGTGAAGCGGAAGCCTCCGTTCCGAGCTGGGTCCAGGCAGCAACTCCCGACCGAGGTCAAGCGTGCTTGTGCCCAGAAGGCAAGAGCCCCTGGGGTGGGAATGAGCTGGGCCTGTGGGTCCCTGAGAGACTGGTGGCTGATGCACTGTTTTCTGTAGGTGGATCCCCTTTCAGAAGACGGCTGGAAACAGAAACCCAACCTGAACGCCATCCGCTCTCTGGAGGCCGTGATCCGGGTGCATAGTAAGTCTGGCGATGGGACACTTACTGAGCTCAGACTGAAGGATCTTGGTGGTACCCTGCCCCCCAGTGGCCAGAGTCCTAGGGCTTTCCATGCCAGCCAGGTGACCTGCTGTTGGTCTGGAGTAAGATTCCTGTGAGTCACCCAGGTGGGCACCCCTCGATGAGGGGGTATCCTCTGAGCCCTCCCAATGGAGCCAGAAGGGCCCACCAGACAGTGGCCCCTCAAGGAAGGGACTGGCTTCCATCGCTAGCTAGACCAGAGCCAGGTCAACAGCAACACTCATGGCCTTGTTTGCCAAAAGGACTGGTTCCCATCCCTCCCCTCAGTCCTGGCCATGAGGATCTCAGGAGCTCTGCCGGCTTGGGGGCTGGGTCTTGGGATAACCCCTACATTTGTAAAGTGCTTTACATTTTCAACTTCAATTCAACATCTATTGAGGATCTTATGTAAAGACCTATAATCTATACTGGGGATAAAAAAATGAATAAAATAGATTCCCACATCTAGGGCTGGATAGGGGAGCCATTGTGTCTTTATGTAATGGTAAAGGCACCACTGATTCCTCTTATGGGGGCTGCCCTCACACTGAGCCAGATTCCAGGACACGGTTCCTCACAGCAGCAGGCAAGAGCAGCATTCTCCTGGCCTGGGCATGCATGCAGAGCGGCCATGGTGACAGTCAGCTCTCTCACGTTGTGTTCTTCCCACCTCCCTTCCTGAGTGCTGGGCTGGGCACTGGTGGGGGCTGCATGAGTGGGAGGCCTGGGCTTGGGGTTCCAGGAGGTCACTGTCACACAGACCCTGTCTGCAGGCAAGCAGACCCTCCTGGTGCTCTCAGGAGCCCCACACCTGTGGGGAATGAGTCAGAGGTGGCCTTGCAGCCAAAGGGGATGAGAGAAAGGCTGGGTACCTGGGCACCCTCACAGCCATGTTGAACCCACTCTCCTCACCCTGTCAGGCAAAGTGAGAAGAGGGGCAGGTGGGAGAGCCAACCCCAAGTGGATGACTGGCCCGCTACTCTGGGGCCCTGGGTCTGAGACACCAACCTCAGTATCTGGTCTAGGACGCGGTGTGGAGGGGCTTACTTTCTCCAACCCTTTCTGACCCGGTGCCTTACCTCAGGTAAATACTGGGGATGCATGCAGCGCCTGGCTTCCTGTCCAGAATCCTGGGTGCCCAGGGTGCCAGGAGCTGACAAAGAAGAAGTGGAGGCAGTGACCGCATTGGCATCCCTCTCTGTGGGCATCCTGGCTGAAGACAGGTAATGCCAGACCCCGGCCCTGGGCCCACGGCCTCTCCACCATGTCATTCCTCCCTGCTTGAAGACTCCAGATCCCCAATACAGCCATCCCAACCCTCCTCCCAGGCTTCCTGACCAGGGCTGAGGAAGCTGGGCTAAGGCCCTTCCTGCAGCCCTAGCGCTCCAGCACCCCACCCTTGTCCTTCCCCGCAGGCCCTCGGAGCAGCTGGTGGAGGAGGAAGAACCGATGAATCTCTAAGGCTCTGGAACCGTCTGCCCACCCATCATGCCCTTGGGACCTTGTTCTCCTCTAACCTCTGGCAGTTCCTGGGTCTTTAGAGGTCCCGTGGGCAGGTAGTTGGGACCAGAGAACAGCCTGCCTGCTTTGATAGTCATCCAGGGAGCCTGCAAAATCCCTTCGTCTAAATGGGGACTGGAGAGGACCCTGAGAGGAGGCAGGCTGGGCGACGAGCCCCCACAGTGCTCTGAACAGATTCTACCCTCCGGGGTCTGGGCCCTGGCTGTGGCCCCCATTCCTCAGGACTGCACAGAGGAGAACTGGCTCCGGCTCTGTCGGACTCACCCTTAACCACTATTCCCGGCTCTGCAGACCCCAGACTTTGCACACAGCCCCAGGCTCCACACACAAATGTGAACTTGGCCTCAGACTGGGTGGCCCTTCCTAGGCTCTAGGGGCTGGGAGGGGTGTGGGGAGCCAAGTGGTCCCATATCCCTGAGTGCAGTGGGAGTACCTCTCACTTGCTTCCTCAGATGACTCTGGAAGCTTCCCCTGGCCACCGGGCACTAAGGTGAAGCTCCCCGATAGCTGAGACCAGCAGCCCTCCATCTGTCCCTGCCCCTGCCAGAGGCCTCCTACGTGGACCTCCTAATGCCCTGGTGTAGCGGACGGGTGCTCTGGGAGTCCTGTGCTTCCTGATCCAATGGTGCCAAACCCTTCATCTCCCCTAGAAGCACAGCTTACCCCCGGGACCCCTCAGCCACTCCACCTCTGAGAGCCTTCTCTGTTTCTGGGGCATCCCCTGCCACCACTCTGACTCCCACCCCACACAGGACTAGCCTGGCTGAGGGGGAAGGGGTGGGAGAGAAGATTACAGACATGGAGGAGGGGAGGCTGCTCTGGCAAAGTCTTCAAGGCTTTTGGGGGTCCAGGCCTGGGACCAAGAAGGAAAATGTGTGTGAGCGTGCGCGTGAGTGAGGAGTATGTGTGAACGTGTGCGAGTGAGGCGTGTGAGTGTCTTTCCTAGGACCCACCATACCCTGTGTATGTATGCATGTTTTTGTAAAAAGAAAAAAAATGGAAAAAAATCTGAACAATAAATGTTTTATTTGCTTTAAAAGTGCCTGTGAAAGGGCCCCCCACCCCCGGAAGTGAGCAGCACAGTGTGGGTCTGAGTCAGTACCTCAGTGCCAGAGGAGGGCCCAGGGTGGTCTGGGCTGCAGCCCCTCTAACTCCTGCCCTGCAGGAAGAACCCATTCTGAACACAACTTGGCTGTTCCACTTTGGCTGCAAGGAGGAGGCAGCCGTGGGCTGAGTCCACAGAGCCCAGCCTGATGTGGCGGGACTGGGGGTAGGGTGGGGGAGTGGGAATACAAGAGCTCAGCCCCAGCTTGCCCCAGCATCCCCAAACAGCTGTGACTCAGACACACTTGGTTTAAGTCCCAGCTGGGAGCTCAGGTAAGTCAAATCATCTTCTGGGGCTTCTGTGTATCAGTAGAAGGCTCCAGAAGTATACACTGTTGATGGTTCCTTCCTGCTCTGATGCACCATGCCTGAGTAAGCATACACTGAACCTAGAAGAGAGAAGGGGCGAGGCACAGGCCTGGACAAGCTCGCCCAGCCTAAGCATAAAGGAAGGCGCCAGGCTGGCAGCACCTGACTTTGTGGTTCTGAGGCGGCCTGGTTTTTCCAGCAGGAAGAGCAGCACCTCATTACCTTAGATAGACCTGGCCCAAGCTCCTGGCAGCCTGGCAGGGCGTGAGGGAAGAGGTGCTAATCTCTTTCCCATCTGGCCTGGACTCTCAGGTGTGGACACGAAATCCTGCAAGCGTGGTTGTAGCTGTGCCCGTGGGCATCCTTGCCCTGGTGGGGTGTGCTGGAGAAGGAGAGCAGACCCCGTGCCAGAAGGCCCAGGGAGAGAGGGCCTCCGGCCCCAGAGACACTGACCCTGTCCCCTGCCCTCCAGGGCACAATTTAACTAGGGAAATGGCTTAGTCAGGTAGCCAGAGAACTGCCACTATCACTCCTTCCCTGCCTAGTCCTCCTGAAGTCCACCTGTCCCCGCAAGATTCCCACCTCACAAGTAACCACCAGAGGCTGTCTGATACAAATGGCCGCTGTATTTTTGCTAAAGTGACAGTGACACAGATAAGGCAAAGAGCTGAGGGGCAGGACGTATCAGGTGGGAAGGGGGAGACCGTGCAAAATGGCAGCCTAACATAGAATCATCCTTGTGACAACTGCCCCTTCCCTCCTGATTGAGGTCAGCCCTTGGGCCAGTGTATGGGCAGAAAAGCAGATTTGTGTCCTTCAGAAGAGAGATGTAAAAAGGGGAAAGCTCTAGTTGAAGGGCAGTGGAGGGGCTGGAGTGGGAGAGGTCTCTCCTGGCCGGTGGTCTGGGTGCAGTGAGGGTACTCTGAGAAGGCAGAGTGGAAACGCAGGGCTGGAGGGGCATGGGCACAGGTGTGGGGGCTCCTTCCAGCCTCTACCATGTTGCCCCCTTCCCCAAAGCCCTTCCAGGGGTAGGAGCACATTCCCTGTGACCCTGAGTCTGGCCTCATTTGAGAAGTCCTTCTCTGGGGTGTGTGGATGCCTGTGTGTGTGAGTGAGAGATGGGTTGGGGGCCATGGCTATCTGGCTCTAGAACACTCATGGGAGACCAGCTCGGAGCAGTGATGGGATGGGGGCTTGAGCGGTCTCTGCTAGAGATTCCTGACCTGACCTCCCCAGGTCCCCACCCTGGCCTTGGGGAGAGAGTGCCTAGGGCAGCAGGGACGAAAGCCCCTGCCTGCAGCATAGGTCCAGGCCTCGTGGCCCTACCTTGACCTCTTGACTTTGTTGTCCTGGCCTTACGTACAAAGATTCCTCACTGCATGCTAAGAAAATAGATCCAGGCTGGGCACGGTGGCTCACGCCTATAATCCCAGCACTTTGGGAGGCTGAGGCAGGTGGATCACCTGAGGTCAGGAGTTCAAGACCAGCCTGGCCAACATGGCGAAACCCCATCTCTACTAAAAATACAAAAAGTAGCTGGGCATAGTGGTGGGTGCCTGTAATCCCAGCTACTTGGGAGGCTGAGATAGGAGAACTGCTTGAACCCAGAAGGCGGAGGTTGCAGTGAGCCGAGATGCTGAGATTGCGCTGCTGCACTCCAGCCTGGATGACAGAGTGAGACTCCAACTCAGAAAAAAAGAAAACAGATCCATTTGAAAAGGTCTAAAGCTGCCCTCTGTCCAGGCCGATGAGCAACATGGCAGGATCCCCTCTCTACCACACCCAGGTCTCCCCCAAAGGGGATGGGTGGGACAGCTTCCTAGGAGACCACGCTGGTCCTGCTGTGTATTTTCTGCCACAGTTCTGGGGCCCCCAGAGGGTGGGAGTAGTCCGTCCCAACGTCTCAGAGGCTGAGTCCAGGTCCTAAGGCCCCCCAGGGTGCAGAGACCTCACCCCCTGGGTCAGAAATCACTGAGGATGCTGATGTCGGCAAAGTCAGCCCGGTAGCGGTGGGCGTAGAGGCTGAGCAGGAAGGCCCACTTGAAGGAAATGAAGCTCCAGACGCTGGAGAGGTAGTAGCTGGTGGGGTCTGTGAGGCCTGCAGGGAGGAAGCACCGACAGTGACTTGAGCAGGCCCTGCCCTCGGCCCCTGCACCAGCCACAAGGCCAGGGCCACCCTCCCCTCTCAATGTCCCTGCAACCTCCCAGCAGCTGAACCGACCCTACAGAAAGACGGTGTAATAAAGGTTTAGGGCCACAGTCCCCAACCTTTTTGGCAGCAGGGACTGGTTTTGTAGAACACAATTTTTCCTTGAAAAATTGGAGGGGATAGTTTTGGGATGAAACTGTTTCACCTTAGATCTGACAATAGATCATCAGGAGCACACAATCTAGATCCCTTGCATGCGAAGTTCACCACAGGGTCCGCACTCCTGTGAGAATCTAATACCCGCCGCTGACCTGACGAGGCAGAGCTCGGGTGCTAAGGGTTGCTCACCCCTCACCTGCTGTGCGGCCTGATTCTTAACAGGCCACGGACCGCTACTGTTCCACGGCCTGGGGGTTGGGACTATTTTAGAGCACTCTAGGCTTTTCAGGCAGGAGGCCATGGGGATTAGGGAAGGGCAGGGCTGGCCAATCACAGGTCTGTATCATCCACTCTGCTTTTGTGACAAGTACCCTAGGACACTTCCAACCTGCTTTAGCATCAAACTCCAGGAAGAACGGCCTCTGGTTACTTCCTGCCACAGCCACCAGAGGGCGCTCCCGTCCCAGAGCAGGGCAGAGACTAATGGGTACCAATATCACAAGCTCTTGTATGGGCTATGCACAACTCAAGACTTCCTATCAGTTTCACTGAATCCACCCAACTTGGGAGGTAGGGACTTGTGTTCCCCACTTGAACCATAAACAAAACCTCAGCCCAGGGAGGTTAAGTGATCCACCCAGTCCCTCTGGAAGTAACCTGTGGAACCAGGATGGGAATCCCAGGGTCTGCCGCTAAAAGCCGCCCCTCCCCGCCCCCAATCCATCCCATGCCCTCTTTCCCTGGAACCCGCCCTCACTCTGGTGCCGGGTGATGGCCAGCACGAGGAAGGTGCAGAAGGCAGCAATGCAGACGGCCGAGAAGAAGACGCCCACGAAGAAGAAGCCGCGCAGCCCCTTGAGCCAGGTCCTCCAGTAATCCTGCATGTACATCACGTGCGTCACCAGGACCCACAGCGCCAGCACCCCTGCAGGAGAGGCACATCAGGGCCCGTCCGCCAGGTGCTCCAGGGCCCTGTAGGTCCACTAGGCCAGGTCTATTTGCAGAAGAAGATCAAGTATTCCAAGAATATGGTCTAGTCACTCACTCCCTCCTAGAATGGAGTTTTCCTTTTCGGTGGCTGTGGTATCAGAAGCAGGTAAGAGACTGAGCTGCCTGCTAGTAAGCCCAACATTAGAGGAATCTGCACAAATACAAAACTCTACCCTTCTCTCTCATTTGTTTGTTTGTTTTGGAAAACATGAGTATCTCTCACAAAAATGTTAATTCATGTTATTTTAGTATTACTTTAAAATGCTGAAAATGTTCCGTTTTAACTTCTAATGTGGTACTTATCAATAGCTATAACTCACATACATAAAATCTGCGTGGAGTCTCACTACTTTTCGAAAGAATAAAGGGATCCTGAGAACCGGAAAGCCTGAGCCTTTACAGCTCAGCCTGCTTTCTGGGGACCTGTCGGTCTACCCTGAGAGCCACAGAGCAGGGAAGCCGTTGCTCCTGCCCCAGTCACGAGGTCTGCAGCCGAGCTCTTGGGCAGCAGAGCTCTTTCCAAACTGCCTGAGTTGGTCTTGCAGGATGGAGAGGTCCAGTCATGAAGACCCCAAGGCCACCCAGCCACTGAGTGGCCTTCTTGTTCTTGGCCAGATCTCATGCCACTCCCTCCGTTTTGCGGCAAACGGCACGCCACGCCATGCCCCCCATTCCCCCGCCTGCCCCAGCTTTTCCTGGGCCTGGCCTCTGCGCCTGGGTGGGCACTTCCCCTAGGATGCCAGCTGCTACCCGGCCGATACAATACAATACAAAACAAAACAACCCTCTGTGCCAGGCAGTGCCTGCTGGTGCAGCCCAAAGAGTGGAACAAATATCGACTCCACTGGCAAGGTTCCGGGCAGGGTGGCGGGTCCCGGCAAGGGAGGAATGAGGAAAGACGCAGAGCCAGCTGCAGGCTCGCAGCTGGCTGAGCTACAGGGTGTGGGCCACTCAGGCCGCCGCATCCTAGGCGTCGGGAGGCCTTTCCAAAAGGCGGATGCACACAGGCCATGCAGAGTACTTACCAAATGTGCACAGGAGGGATAGGCATCTGGCTGGGGAAAGTGGTTCTCTCTGGCAATGGAGACAAGGAAGGGAAGCTGATGGGGTGGTGGGGCAGGAAAGTGCTTTGAGGGAATCTATGCTATTTTGTTTCTTAGGCTGGGTGGGGAATGTATACTACTTTATCTATGCTGTTTTCTTAGGCTGGGTGATGAGTATAAGGGTATTTGTTAAATCGTCCATCCTTTTTTATGTCTAAAATATTTCATAACTTTTTTAAAGGGGGGAAAAAGGGAAGGGGAAGCTAGTTCAGCTCAGAGGCTGTCCCAGTTCGGCTGTCCTCAGGCCGTTCAGTGAGGAACAAAAATCCAGGAGACTCCAAGCAAAGAAAACGGTAGCCTGGCAGTGCTGTGTCCCAAAGCCTTGGTGTTTTCACATCTAAAAATGGGCGGGCCCAGGGTTCCACCCTAGTGAGGGCAGAGGCCTACCAAGCCCGCAGCTTCCCCTAGCCCCTGCCGCTGTTTGATCCCCTCAACACTCCCCCAGCTGTGTCCCTGCCCACCTCCACTCTTCTTCAGGGGTTGGGGCCTGGGTCCCCCTCCCACTGAGATCAGGGTGGTCCTAGTCTGGATGCTGGAGTGGGTCAGAGGCGGACAGGACAATCATCCCACAGCGTCCTCTTACATCCAACAAGATCTGGATTTTGTACCAGCCACCCTCCCCAGAAGTCCCTCCCACTCCTCACAGGCATCCCCTGTTTTCATTTGAGGGAGCTGTTTGGTTTCTTAAAGGGCCCTGGAAACAAGGCTTGCTGTCACTGAGCACACTCAAGGAATAGTCTGATGGGCACCTGTCCGGAACGGGTCCACTTGCTGTGTTTCCTCGAGCCACAGAGGGGTTGGGGAAGTTGAGCTCTAAGATCCTTTCCTACTCAAAGATTCTAGAAGCCAGCTTAGGAGAAAAATAAGGTCAGAACAAATCCTCTGTGACTCAGCAGTTTCTGGGTTAGGAAATGCCGAAATAGGGGCCCATGAAGATGCCATGAGTCCACTGATCATGATCGGATGGTTCCCCAAAATTCCCACCCCCATATACATGCACATACCAAAAAGGGCTAAGGGCAGGAGGGAGAGGAAGACAGGCATTGGGGTGTTTCGGGCCCTGTTGTTTGTTAATAAGCAGGCATACTTTACCCACCTCTCACCTTTCCTCAGCCCTGCTCCAGGCCCTGCACAGAGGCCTCCCCTCCAGATAAACACACAACTTTGGAGGCAGGCCTGATCCCACCTGCCCGGGCTCCCACCACCCTCCTGGGAAGGGAGCTGTCCACTAGCCCTACCCAAAGGGGTCACTGAAGGGGGTAGAGCCCCCTCACTGGTCCCCTTCCACACATCAGGCAGGAGGCAATGTCCCTCCCTAGTACCCTTTCCTACCATACTTGGGGATTCTAGGAAGCCTGGTTTGCAAATCTCAGGGTGGAACGAACAGGTCCCCAGCTCCACCTGGCCACAAGCCCATGAGACCACACCATTGTTCCGTCCCACCTGTTTCAAGGAGCAGAGCCCTTGCTCAGCCTCTGGGCTCACAGCTGATAAGTAAGCTAAGGGCAAGGAAGGCACAAGGTAGGGCGGTGAAAGCAACCCCAGTGGCTGCGCTGGAGGTGAGGAGACAGGAGACACCCAGGGGATCCTACAGGGTAAAAGCAGAGAAGAGGAACACTGGGCTGAGGTCAGGCCCTCTTCTGCCTAGGAGGAAGATAGTCCTGGGGCCCCAGGGCTCTTGCTTACAGCTCATGGGGGAAAAATATAGAGCTGTTTAGACTCCTGGAGCAACTTTTCTTTTTCTCTTTCCTTGGTCTACTAAACCTAGAGCAAGAGTCTATGTGTTACTCCAGGGTTCTCACAGCAAAGTCAGACCAGGTAGATCCAACCCACGCCTGCCCACCTCCCCCAAAAAACCAGCCTTGCTTCTGCGACTGCCGTTTTCCAAAGCCACTTCTCTCAGGATACCCATCAGGATGGGAGAGGGTGTCCCCACCCATGAACACTCTGAGCACCAGACCCAGGGGGCTCCATGACCCTGCTTCAGAAACTGGCATGCCCAATCCGTCCTTGCCTGGTCCAACCTGGGGGAGAAGGAACACTCTGGGGCTGCCCTTGGGTGACTCAGCAGATTCTGAGCTATAAAATGCTGAGTCAGAAGTAGGGTGCTCACAAGTTAGTAAATCTGCTGACACTTTACCGCCAAAAGAGGAAGAAGGCTTGACTGGCCACAGACCCTCTGGGAACCCACTCATGGTGGGGAAGGTGAAAGGCCCAGGCTTGGCAACCCTCTCCCTGCCACCATCATCCACCACCACTGACAAGCAGTTTTGGCTCTTCCACGGCCACTGTCAAAGATCAGACCATCAGGGAGATGCCAGGACCCTCCTCCAGCTGGCTGTGGCCCTAATGCCTCTCTCTGAAGGCAGCTCCACAGCTGGCCTGCCTCAGAGGCCAAGGGAAGTCTGTGGGGAGGGAGAGAGGGCAGAGGTGGGTCAGAAGGAAACCCCAGGCAACTCCCTAGAGTGTAAGAAAGGCCTTTTCCACAGTCCTCTAGTAGGCAGTGGAGATGGAAGATTCAGGGAGTGGGCAGAACTGCAAGATTCAGATCTGGAGGGAAGTCGGGCACCATTCAGGGACATCTCCTCCCACTCCTAATAGATGAGGAAGCTTGCCCAGGAGGGGGTCAAATGGCCAGGTAGGGCTCACCTCCACTTCCACCAGGCCGGACTCAGAACACCCAGCTGGGATCCCAGGGCTGGCCCTCCCTCCTCATCCTATCTCTTGCTTTGGATCTCAGCAAGGCAATGGGTAGGGCCGTGACACCACCTTCCAGAGGGGAAAGCGACAGGGTCCATAGGAAACAAAAAACTGGCAGGGAGATGGGCCAGTTGTCCTCAGGAGCCCACAGGTGGTGAGGCAGCTACCCTCCTTCTTGGTGATCCAGCGTTTTGCTGTCATTGCATAGGGTGGGGCTATGTATGCCCATCTTCTAAGGAAGAAACCCTGCCTCATGCTGTGACTCTACCCAGGGATGGCTCTCAGCAAGCCTGGGGGCAGTGAGTAAATTAGTTATTTTTAGTTATTCCATTTAGAGTTCTCTTGGCAGAGGGTTTTTGTAATGGAACATGATCATCATGTGTAAAAGTATTATCCTTACACGTATTTTCTTCCCAAAGTCCTTTCCCACACATATTATTTCATTTGGCTGTGTAATCTTGGGTAAGGAATTTATTTAACTGCAGGCCTCAGTTTCCTTGTCTGTAAAATGGACACAATAATAATGCCTACCTCATGAGACTAAGGTTAAGGATTAAATGAAATACGGGAAGCAGGTTGGTTAAGATAGATAGTACCCGACACATATAAATCATCTAAAAATGTTAGACAACAGAATATTTTTCAACTTCATACCAATTCTATGGCACAGAGAAGTTAAACTGCATGCCCAAAGGTGCACAGCAAGGAGCACTGGTCAGCCCAGGGCGTCTATTACCGCGCGGATGCTTCCCCTTCCCTCCCTGAGGCACAGAAGGGGCCGCTGGGCTGCGGGGTTTGGCAGATCTTGGCTGAGGAGCCACAGAAGGCGGGTGGCAAAAAGGAGCCGACGTGGGTGGAAAGAGGATGTCTAGCTTCTGAGAGCTCCCCAGCGCGGTGCTCCCGGTGGGTCTCGGCAGAGGGCTCTCCGGGGGATGGGGTCCGCACTGGCAGGAGGCAGACGCGCTTCCCCAGCCACCCCTAGCCCCCTTCCTTTCCCACTTCTCCCTTCTCTGCCCGGCGGGGCAGGGACCTGCGCGTGTCCGGGGGAAGGAGGGGGCCCGCGCCGCGGGTGCGCGGAGGAGACACCGTCGTGGGGCAGCTGGGCGGAGGGCGACCGGCGCTGTGCCGGGGCCGACAACCCCGGCGGCGCGGCGGGCCTGTGCCCCAGGTAGCGGCGGGCCGTCGGCACCCCCGGGTGGCGCCCGGGCGGGCATCGGGTCCCGGGGGCGCCCAGGAATGCCCAGGAGCCCGGGCCCGCGCGGGGCCTCGGCCGCCAACCGTCGTTTTCGAGTCGGCACCCCACCCGCTCCCCGGGGAAGCGCCGCTCGGGAGGCGCGTCCCGGAGCAGCTGCCAACGCCCGCCCCGCGGCCGCGCCCCCGCCCCGCGCCGCCCCGCGCCGCCCCGCGCCCGGGGTACCTGCGAGCCCTCCCATGGCCGCGGTCCCCGGCTGTCTGTAGACCACCGTCCAGACGAGGAAGATGGAGAAGCCGGCCACGGAGCTGAGGCCGGAGTAGGCGGCGCGGAGGCCGAGCTGCAGCCGGGACGGGGCCATGGGGCTGCAGCGCCGAGCGGGCCGACGGGAGCGCGGCCGAGTCACAGGTGCAGGACCCGGAGCCGCCCGCCGGAGCCGCCGGAGCCGCCGGAGCCGCCGGAGCCGCCGGAGCCCCGCGCTCCGCCCCCGGCCCGCCCCCCGCGCCGCCGGCACAGCGCCCTCCCCGGCCGGAGGCCGCCCGCGCCCGGAACCGCAGACGCCACCGCCGCTTTGCGAAGCCGCCGGGCCGTTTGGGGGATGCCTGTTAGTTACAAAGGCGGATTCCGGGGCTCCCCCCCAGACCCGCCGTGTCAGGATAGTTGGGCCTGGGAAGGGCCTGGGAATATGCCTTTATACAAGCCAGCCGCGGGGATGAAAAATCTTTACCTCTGAACAAAACGCGTATTCTCGTTTACATTTAAATTTCTCATTAAAAATTAATACGTAAAACTTTTTTTTTCTTTTTTAAATTTTCTTAATCTATTTTTTATTTTTAAATTTTTTTTAGTTTTATATTTTATTTTTTAAGAGACGGGGTTTCAGCATGTTGGTCAGACTGGTCTCGAACTCCTGACCTCAGGTAATCCCCCCGACTCGGCCTCCCAAAGTGCTGTTATTACAGACATGAGCCACCGCGCCTGGCCGATACGTAAAACTTAAGAAATAAGTGAATAGAATTCCTTCCACTCGTCCCTCTATCAACCAGGTTCCTTCCCATTGTATCTCAGAAGATTCCTCCACACGCTAAAGTCTGAGAACCCCTGCGACCATCACCTGACTGTAAACACTCTATCCTGCACAGCTCCCCACAAATCCCAACTTTTTTTACTTTTATTTTTGAGACACCCCCCATCTTTCCCCCAGGCTGGAGTGCAGTGGCGTCCAGTGGTGTGATCTTGGCTCACTGCAACCTCCACTTCCCTGGTTCAAACAATTCCCCTGCCTCAGCAGCCGGAGTAGCTGGGATTACGGGCACCACCACCAAGCCTGGCTAAATTTTTTGTATTTTTAGTAGAGATGGGGTTTCACCATGTTGGCCAGACTGGTCTCGAACTCCTGACCTCAGGCAATCCGCCTGCCTTGGCCTCCCAAAGTGCAGGCATTACACGCGTGAGCCACTACCTTTGGCCTTTTTTTTTTTTTTTGGAGCTCACTCTTGCCCAGGTTGGAGTGTAGTGGCGCCATCATAGCTCTGTATCCTCCAACACCTGGACTTAAGCAATGCTCTCTCCTCAGCCTTCCAAGCGGCCACGTGAGTGCCACCACACGTGGCTAATGTTTTTTGTTATTTATTTTTTATAGAGATGGGGTCTCACTATGCTGCCCAGGCTGGTCTCCCATTCCTGGCCTCAAGTTGTCTTCCCACCTTGGCCTCCCAAAGTGCTGGAATTACAGGCCTGAGCCACTGCAACTGACCTCACCTTTCCTTTTATCCTCACAAGCCTCATCGTCCCAAGCCCTTTTGGAACATCATCCTGACCCTCAGAATCATACCATTCTAAGGTAGAGACAGATTTGTAGCAGGAGTGCACTGAGCTCCCATGTGAGCCCAGCTTCCAGCCGGGAGCTGGAAGGAAAAATCCCAGCACAATAATAAGGCTCGGCCACAAGCACTTAGATCCACATGGGGAGGCCCATCACAAACCTCCACGAAACAGCCAATACCCCTTGCATTACGTTTGTTGTTGTTTTGTTTTTGCTGTTGTGACAAATTACCACAAATGTACTGACTTAAAACAATACAAACTTACTATTTTACAGTTTTGTAGGTCAGGAGTCCAAATAATGGTCTCACTGGGCTAAAATCAAGGGGACATCAAGGCTGCCTTGCTTCCGGAGGCTCTAGGCGAAAATCAGTTTCGTTGCCTTTGCCAGCTTCTTTGTTTGGTTTTGTTTGTTTGTTTGTTTTGAGTTGGAGTCTCACTCTTACCCAGGCTGGAGTGGAGTGCAGTGATGTGATCTGAGCTCCCTGCAATCTCCACCTCCTGGGTTCTGGCAGTTCTCCTGCCTCAGCCTCCTGAGAAGTTGGGATTACAGGCTTCCACCACACGTCTGGCTAATTTTTGTATTTTTAGTAGTTACAGGGTTTTGCCATGTTGGCCAGGCTGGTCTCAAACTTCTGACCTCAGGTGATCTGCCCACCACGGCCTCCCAAAGTGCTGGGATTACAGGCATGAGCCCACCGTGCCCAGCCGCCTTTTCCAGCTTCTAGAGCAAGGCTACCCACGTGCTTTAACTCCCTCTTCCTGCTTTTCCCTTGTAAGGACCCCTGTGATTGAGGGAATAGTCCAGGATAATCTCCCATCTCAAGATCCTGAACTTCATCACGTCAACAAAATAAATCCCTTTGCCGTGGAAGGTGACATATTCACAGGTGCTGGGATGAGGCTGTGGACATCTTTGGGGGCCATTATCCCACCCACCACACCCCCTCTGGAACATAAACTTCATGAGCAGGGACAGTGCCAGTTTTGTTCACACCAACACCTAAAAGGGTGTCTGGCATATACTAACCACTTAATAAATGTTTGTTGAATAGATGAATGTGAGTGAATGAAGGGAAGAATAAAATAAGAACAAAAGTAATTATACACAAGGAACCTAGACAGGGTGTGCTGAGTTGGCAAACAAGGGATGTAAACCAGTGTTAAGCACATTGACCTCACTCTAGAATAATCTAGGAGCTTCTTTTAAAAAAAAACAAAAACCCAACCCCACCCCTGCCTATTAAATTTTGAATCTTGGAGGGTGTATTTTAATGAGAAGTGATGTTAAGGCTGTGAGCTCAGCACCAGCCCCGCTTTAGGAGCCACTGGTGGGGGGTAAGCGCTGTTCCTGTCTAGGAGGGAGCAAGCCCGGTGGTTGGTGGTCAGGAGCGCATTGCCGTGGATGGCTTCAGAGCTGGCCGGGATGGATGGCATTCCAGGCAGCGGGAACCGCGTGTGTGATGGCCCAGAGGGAAGAAATAACGTGACGGCTTTGGGAAACTGTAAATCGTTTGTGCCTGGAATGTCAAGTTTGAAGGCAGAGTGGTGGGTTTGGAGATTAAAAATGTTCTGAACATAAAGGGCCTTGCGTACTCTGTTAAGAAAGCTGTTCCCCTCCCCCTGGGGCTGGGGGAAAGAAGTTACAAGTCTGTGTTTTAGAACTATGGCAAGAATAATAGAGGGAAGGCGAACTGCCTTTGAAAGACTAGAAGCAGAGGGATGAGCTGGACAAGTTTCACTCCACAGTGCTTTAATTACCACGTCTTTAAAATGGAGACTGCAGTAATACCTACTTCCAAGTGTTGTGATGAGGACTGCTTGGAAGAGTGCCTAGCAAACGGTAGGTTCTCAATAAATGTCAGGAAGTAGAATTAGTAGCAGCAGAAGGTTGCCATGGCAAGAGACACGAGAGGCTTCAGAGTTGGTTCAGGCGGAAGCAGTGAGAATGGAAGAGACGAAACTGCTTCAAGAGCTATTTCAGCTATCTGAACCTAAAGGTCAGGGGAGAATTCATTAGCTGAGCAGACAGAGGAGGAGAGCCCAAATATTGTGAGTGGACATATTAGGAGCATGGGAGAGCAGTGAGCAAACTTGCTGTGCTGGAAAGTGAGATTGTGCAAGAAAAGAAAGAGAAATAATTACATAATAGTAGTACTGGCCCAGGCTGTGGAAGGCTAAGGCTAGGCTCCAGCGTTTTTAAAATTGTGGAAGCAATAAAGAGCTACTGCAGAGTGGCAGACTCAGGTAGCACGAGAGGCCCGGCTTCACCATTTGCTGTGACCCTGGGCAAGTGCCCCTAACGCACAGCTGCCCAATCCAATCGGCTTCTGCCTGGAAGAAAATGGTCCATATCTGCACCCTCCACAATGGCGGCCACTAATCACAGGTGGCTATTGAATACTTGATATGTGACTAGTGTGATGGCAGAACTGAATTTTTAATTGTATTTGATTTAAATTAGTTTAAATTTAATGCATTTAATTTAAATTAAATAGCTGCACATGACTAGTGGCTACTGTGTTAAACAGCTAGAACCTCCCGTGACGCCTGCTGCTCCATCTGTACACAGGGAATGACGCTGATACATCACAGGCTTGTTACAAAGGTTGAGATATATTGAGATACTGCAGTCAAAGTGCTCAACATAGTAATTCAAATTACAGCTGCTATTGTTGATATTGTGATTGTTATTATTGAACAGGGATTGCATGGCATAAGCCAAGTCTTAGGAAGATTAGACTGTAATAGCCAGTTCGATTTGGTGCGGGAAAGTGTAGAGGATAAAACATTCACAAGGTTCTTACGGTGATAAGGTACAAAGGAGTTAAGATCTTATCCAGTGAAAGACCTTGAGAATGGGAAAGAATGGAACGATTGTTGAGCCACAAAGCACACGGGTGTGCACCACACACACATCTTCTCGTATCAGCTTCCTTCAAGGCATTCTCAGAGAGCACAGTCCCATCCCAGTCCAGGACAGACACCACTTCGATCTCTACAAGTGCACAGCCATTCTCCCTGCCTGTGGCAGAAACTACTCGTGAATCGGCAACACACGCCAACATTTACATGTCCCTTTCTGGGCACAGGACCTCCCGAATTAGAACTACACTTCCCAGCTTCTTGCAGTTAAGCGGATGTCATGGGATCAATTTCTGAACAATGGAATGAAGGCAGAAGCAATGTGTGCCATTTCTAAGCTGGACTCATTAAAAAAATCTCCCTTACACCCTGCATTCCCTCTTCCCATTCTGTGATGATTTTAGAGGCCATATGTAGCAATACCACATAATGGAAAGAACCCAGAGCCTTGAATGAACAAATGGAACAGAGCTACCCCTGGCCCCTAGCCCTCACTGAACTATACAACATGAGTGAGAAAGCTCCGTGGCTTTGTTACAGCTCAGTTGTTTGTTACAGCTAACCTTATTATCCTCATACACCATCCCTCATTCCATTGACGGTCATCGAAACAGGTCCTATATAGATGACCCGCCTAAACCATCCATCCCTCTGAAGTCTCTTTTGCACTGGGTCCCACCAATACTAAGACAGATTTCTAACTCCCCATCTGCAGACATGCTGCCTGCTGACATTCCTTTCTCACTCCCCGAAAAAGGCACATTCCAAACATATCTTCTCCCACAATGCTAGATCAGGGATACACCTTCTGAGCCATCTTCCAGATGATTGAATTTATTGGACATGTCAGGGCTTCCTCCTCTCTTCTTAATCCCCATGCAGAGAGACCTCTGATGTCCCTGGGGCGTGTCCTTGTTTACTGTGGCTCAGACCCAAACCTAGGTGTTATCTCTGAGTCATCCCTGCTCTTCGCTCCTACATCAAACTCATTACAAAATACACTTGGATTTGCCTTGTCCTCTCTCTCCATTCCCTCTGCCACCCTAGTCCGGCCACCATCATTGCCACCTGCCTACCTGCAGCAGCCTCCTAACTGGTACTCCTCTGTTCATTCTTTCCCCTCTAATCTACTCTCCACCAGAAGCTGGAGCAATCTTTTAAAAGGGATAACCATAACCATGGCTGGGTGCAGTGGCTCACGGCTATGATCCCAGCACTTTGGGAGGTCAAGATGGGTGAATCACTTGAGGTCAGGAGCTCGAGGCCAGCCTAGCCAACATGGTGAAAACCCATCTCTACTAAAAATACAAAAATTAGCCAGGTGTGGTGGCACACGCCTGCAATCCCAGCTACTCAGGAGGCAGAGGCAGGACAATCACTTGAACCTGGGAAGTGGAGGTTGCAGTGAGCCGAGATCACACCACTGCACTCCAGCCTGGGTGACAGAATGAGACTCCATCTCAAGAAGAAAAAAATTTTTAAAATAAATAGATAAAAATAACAACCAGAATATGGTACTCCCCTGCTTCAATCACTCCAACAGCTTCCAAAGCTTTGATCAGGGTTTTGCCAACTCCAACCAGCCTTACTCACCCTTGCTCATTTCACTTCAGACACATTGGCCTTCTTTCTGTTTCTCAAACATGCCACACTTGTTCCTGTTCCAGGTTTTTTATGCTGTGTGCCCGGAAAACTCTTCTCTGAGTGTTTATAAGATTGATCTCTCATCATTCAAGTCTCAGCTCAAATGTTACCTCCACGGTGGGTGCCGTGGCCCACCCCTATAATCCCAGCACTTTCGGAGGCCAAGGTGGGAGGATCACCTGAGGTCAGGAGTTCAAGACCAGCCGGGCCAACATGGTAAAACCCCATCTCTACTAAAAATACAAAAATTACTTGGGCATGGTGGCGTGTGTCTGTAATCCCAGCTACTCTGGAGGCTGAGGCAGGAGAATCGCTTGAACCTGGGAGGCGGAGGCTGCAGTGAGCTGAGATAGCTCACGGCAATCTCAGAGAGGAGTCTGGCTTCTCCTTGAGACCTCACTTCCTCTGCCTGCCCACTGACAGCCTAGAGGTCTGTGCAGAAGGCAGGAGTCTTGCTTCGTCACCACTGCACTCCAGCCTTGGTGACAAAGCAAGACTTCTTAAAAAAAAAGAAAAATTACCCCCTCAGAGCTCTGTTTTATTTCCTCCACAGCACTTACCATGACAAGAAATTGTATTTATCCTTTCCACCCCTACTCCTGCTGTCTCTATTGGAATATAATCTCCAGGAAGACAGGGGCTTATCTCAGGGTGATTTACTCATCCTGATTTACCAGGAACTTTTCCAGTTTTACCACAAAAGTTCCACATCCCAGAGCCCCTCAACATAGGGCAAACTGTGATAGTTACTCACTTTATGCCTGCCTCGATCACTTCTGTATTCCCAGTGCCTAGTATAATACCAGGTGCCCAGGTAGGAACTCGATAAATATTCATTCAGTACACAAAGCAAAGCACGGCCGAATGTCCATAAAGAATTCTTCAATCCTGGCTCTAGGGGGCAGCCTTCCCCAACCTTGTGCCTTCAGACAGCTGTGCAGGTTGGGCTGGTAGCTTGTGTACATAGGTAGTGAGTTCCACAAGATTCTCCCCAGGACTTATGTGGTCCCCTTGCCCACCCCCAGCCCTTGTGGAGTTCACAGTTGAGGACCCTGGCTGTGGCAACCGGAGGCTGTGCCTGACACGAGGTAGATTCCTTTCCTCTCCCCATCCTACCCACCCAGACCCACCTCCTGAGGTCAGCCTTATAGACCACAGAGCAAAAAGGGCTGTCCGAGACAGCAGCAGCAGGTGGCTGGCTCCAGGGAGAAGCTGGCCCCATCACGGTGAATTCTAGCTTTGAGGTTGCAGGAAGGACTCAAATCCAGGGGTCACCTTGGCCCCCCAAATGCTGCATCCCCAGGGCTAGGGCTGCCTTCTGCCCCTTTAGAAGGGGTTCTCCTGAATTCTCAGGGCTAGAGTGAAACTGCTCAGTCTGGCTTCTCGCTGGGACCTCACTTCCTCTGCCTGCCCACTGACAGCCTAGAGGTCTGTGCGGAGGACAGGATGACAAGCGAGATGCTGAGCGGAAACAGCAGGTCTTTGAGCTCAGGAGCTAAAAAAGCATCAGAGGCAGGTGGCCTGGGGGTTGAGGAGGGGGAGGGGGATCACAGTCGCAGCTGCCTGGGAAGAGCAGCATGAGGGAGCTGGGCCCAGGCCTGCCACTGTCTCCTGGTGTTCTCCAGCAACCTCCATCACAGGTGCATGCTCTGGTCTTCTTTCCCCTTTTCCTGAGGGAGCCGTTGCTGGATGGGGAGGGTGGGGTGGATAAGGGCTGCAGTTCACCTCCACGGAGACTTGGGCATGGAGGCAAATGGGGCTGATTGACTTCTTTGACTCCTTGGAAGCTGCCAGAGGCTGGAGAAAGGCAGGTTGCAGCACCGTGAGGAGTGAGAGAAGAATAAGGCTTGAGGGCAGGAGGGGAGGGCATTAGCTCTTCCCCGAGGGAAAAGCCTGGCAGAGGGGTTCATCAATATTTGCCCGTTAGATTCGAGTTTGAGAACTGGCTTTAATGAATGAGAAAGTCACTATGGAGGCTTCATCAGTGCATGTGGGTCCCCGTCTAGTCCAGCTGCATGGGCCCTGGGTGATGTAAAAGACTAGAAATAAGGTTGTCTGCCGGGCCCGGTGGTTCACACTTGTAATCCCAGCATGTTAGGAGGCAGAGATGGGCGGATCACAAGGTCAGTAGATGGAGACCATCCTGGCCAACATGGTGAAATCCCATCTCTACAAAATACAAAAAAGTAGCTGGGTATAGTGGCACATGCCTATAGTCCCAGCTACTTGGGCGGCTGAGGCAGGGGAACTGCTTGAACCCAGGAGGGAGAGGTTGCCGTGAGCTAAGATCTCACCACTGCATTCCAGTCTGGCGACAGAGCGAGACTCTGTCTCAAAAAAATAAAATAAAATAAACGTCACCTGTGCTTAGTTCAGACCAGGGGGCCCATGAATGGCACCCTAGAGAGACTCAAGTAGCTACATATCACGACACTTCCAGGAGGAGGAAGAAAGAGATGGACAAGAGACGGACTGAGACAGCGTGAGGAAGGGGAATTGGTCAAGAACTGGGTGGACAGGCCCCAGGAGGGAAAGACAGAGCTGGGGAAGCTAAGAGGGAGGTGAGAAAGAGCCGCAGCAGGAGCCGGGGAAACCTGTTTATTATTAAGGCAGGAAACGTCTCCTGAGGGCCTTCTGTGTACAAGGCACTGACCATGCAAGGCCAGCAGCCGGAGCACAGCAGAGAGGCTCTCACCCTCTGGCAGCTTACATTCTCCCCGAGGACGGAGCAATGCTTTGATTTCAGCGTGGTGAGTGCCAGGCCTGTGGCACAGAAATGAGGCTCTGCACGGGGAAGCCCGACACAGGCTAGACCCTCAGGCAGGCGCAGAGCCAGACTCGGGGGCAGTGACAGGCCAGAAGCTGCCACTTTGCCTGGCCCCCAGGGCCCAGCAGGCACCCTCAGCTGACACTCGAGGAGGCTGGGCCTGGGGAGAACTGAAGCAGCTGGGGAGACTGAGGCAGGATTTGGGCCAGCCCTGCAGTGTGCTTACGTGGACCAGGCTCCCCACTTCCACCAGAGGCAAAGCGGCTAGAGCAGGAAGGGCTGAGACTGAGGGGTGGGGAGGCAGAAAAGTGGGGCTGCCTCGCTGTCCCTGAGAGGCCTGACGGGGGGTCTGTGCTCTCTCTGAGGCACAACTGCAGACTTCCCCTTACTTCGCTTTCCTTCTCTGGACTCCCACTTTTCTGTTTCCCTCTCTGGACCCCATTTTTCTGTTTCCCTCTCTGGACCCCCCTTTTCTGTTTCCCTCTCTGGACCCCACTTTTCTGTTTCCCTCTCTGGACCCCACTTTTCTGTTTCCCTCTCTGGACCCCACTTTTCTGTTTCCCTCTCTGGACCCCACTTTTCTGTTTCCCTCTCTGGACCCCACTTTTCTGTTTCCCTCTCTGGACCCCCCTTTTCTGTTTCCCTCTCTGGACCCCCCTTTTCTGTTTCCCTCTCTGGACCCCCCTTTTCTGTTTCCCTCTCTGGACCCCCCTTTTCTGTTTCCCTCTCTGGACCCCCCTTTTCTGTTTCCCTCTCTGGACCCCCCTTTTCTGTTTCCCTCTCTGGACCCCCCTTTTCTGTTTCCCTCTCTGGACCCCACTTTTCTGTTTCCCTCTCTGGACCCCACTTTTCTGTTTCCCTCTCTGGACCCCACTTTTCTGTTTCCCTCTCTGGACCCCACTTTTCTGTTTCCCTCTCTGGACCCCACTTTTCTGTTTCCCTCTCTGGACCCCACTTTTCTGTTTCCCTCTCTGGACCCCCCTTTTCTGTTTCCCTCTCTGGACCCCCCTTTTCTGTTTCCCTCTCTGGACCCCCCTTTTCTGTTTCCCTCTCTGGACCCCCCTTTTCTGTTTCCCTCTCTGGACCCCCCTTTTCTGTTTCCCTCTCTGGACCCCCCTTTTCTGTTTCCCTCTCTGGACCCCCCTTTTCTGTTTCCCTCTCTGGACCCCACTTTTCTGTTTCCCTCTCTGGACCCCCCTTTTCTGTTTCCCTCTCTGGACCCCCCTTTTCTGTTTCCCTCTCTGGACCCCCCTTTTCTGTTTCCCTCTCTGGACCCCCCTTTTCTGTTTCCCTCTCTGGACCCCCCTTTTCTGTTTCCCTCTCTGGACCCCCCTTTTCTGTTTCCCTCTCTGGACCCCCCTTTTCTGTCTCCCTCTCTGGACCCCCCTTTTCTGTTTCCCTCTCTGGACCCCCCTTTCTGTCTCCCTCTCTGGACCCCACTTTTCTGTTTCCCTCTCTGGACCCCCCTTTCTGTTTCCCTCTCTGGACCCCCCTTTTCTGTTTCCCTCTCTGGACCCCCCTTTTCTGTTTCCCTCTCTGGACCCCCCCTTTTCTGTCTCCCTCTCTGGACCCCCCTTTTCTGTTTCCCTCTCTGGACCCCCCTTTTCTGTTTCCCTCTCTGGACCCCCCTTTCTGTCTCCCTCTCTGGACCCCCCTTTTCTCTTTCTCTCTCCAAAGCCCTGTTTTTTGCCCTGCCCTAATTTCCTACCAGGTTCTCTCTGAAGGGAGGAAACAGGCAGTAGATCTGATGCCAGGAAAATGTCAGCCTCTTTGGTTTCCTCTCTGACCCCAGCACTTCCAGAGTGGGATTTGGGGGTGGGATGGCGCTGCTCTGATGCTGGGAAGGGGGCCTTAGCCCTAGCCTGCTTTCCTGGTTACCCACATCCTCCCCCTGCCCCCAGCCCGTGCTCTGGACCCAGCCTGACTGACTGGGCCTGGGAGACAGAAGTGGGCATCTCCTGAGCGGGGGGCAAGGGCCCTGCTAGGACCCCTCTCTCAGGCTCCTGCAGTCACACCTGCCAAGACTCTGAAACAAAAGGACAAAGTGGGCACAGGGTTTGAATCCTGAACAGAGGCCGTGGGTCCAGGATGAGTTGGAAGATGGGAGCACTTAAGACAAGGGTTTTGGGAAGGCTGAAAAAGTTGGAAAGAGGGGAGGGGTGGGGGGTGGTAGGTAGTGTGGGTGTTCAGCCCCGGGACAGAAGACAGGGGTGGGGAGAAAAGTGACCCTTAGGGAAAGTGGCCACAACTGGAATGGGACAGGCATTGTAGAACACTGATCGCTCAAGGTCAGATCAAGTGTCTTCTGGGACCCACACAGGACACACACACACACCCCACACACAAGCACACACACACCTTGAGAAGCAGAAGTTGGGGCGGAGAAAGCAGTTACCCATTTCCGTACGTTCATGTAACAGTAAATTTGCCAGGAGGCAGGCTGCTGCCCTTCCCTCCATGGGCATCTCCAGCCCTGCCTGTCCTCTCCTGCTCTTCTGGCTTCTCCCACCCCCTCCCTGCCCTCCATCCCAGCATCGCCACCACAGGTCTGTCCCACGACTGTTTCCTTGTCTCTGCCATGCACGGGTAGCTTGAGCACCAGCCAGAGGAATGTGCCTCCAGGAGAGTGTGGGGCTCCTGCTTTCGCCTCTGCAACTTCATGCAGGTCCCAGCTCTGACTGTGAGCCCCAGCTTGCCCACATGGCCCTCCTAGAGGAGGCAGGAGCCCATCCCTCCTCTCCCTCCCATCACTTTCATAAGCGGCTCATGAGTGACTGGTTGTGACCTGTTAGTCCTAGGAAGGTTTGGCTTGGCGCCCATCAACGTTCCAGCTCCCTGCCCCTGCCTCCCCCACCGCCCCAGGAATGGACAGGGAGGAGATGGAGGAACTGAACTGGAACCGCCCTTGGGGGATGGGGCCTGGGCAAGAGTCGGAGGGCCTTAAACCATGCAGAGCCTGGAGGTAGAGTCCAGAGGAGAATACCTGGCTCGCTGCTCAATCTCTTCTCACTGTTGACGAACCATAGCCAAGGTCGACTCCTGGGGGTGCTGTGGGAGGGTCGGGCGCAGGCCAAGGCCCTGGCACAGCCCTTACATCCCCTACTGCTTTATCTCCCAGTTGGCTTCCAAGCTGGCCATTTTCTGCAGTCCCATGGGAGGCCAATTAGTGAAAATTTCCTCCACCTGCCCTCTCTCCATCCCACCAAACCCCCTCAAAAGTCATGGCTGAGCCTTGTGAACAAAGTTGGCAGCACAGGATAGAGAAATGAGGAGACAAGAAAGCAGCAAGGAGGGAGAGAGATGGAATGAACGGCCTTGAAAATGAACTGGGAAACCAGCTCCTCTCCCTTCCACCCTGCTGAGGCTGCAGGCCCATAGTAGGCACCAGCTGACTACCCACTGTCCTGTTCATTTCATTTCCTCTCGTAATCATTAAGCATCAGTTTTATGCCAGACACTGTGCTGGGGAGGGAGAGCCAATCAGATTAGTGTGTTAGAGGCCGGGCACGGTGGTCAAGCCTGTAATCCCAGCACTTTGAGAGGCCGAGGCGGGTGGATCACGAGGTCAAGAGATCGAGACCATCCTGGTCAACATGGTGAAACCCCATCTCTACTAAAAATACAAAAAATAAGCTGGGCATGGTGGTGTGTGCCTGTAATCCCAGCTACTCAGGAGGCTGAGGCAGGAGAATTGCCTGAACCCAGGAGGTGGAGGTTGCGGTGAGCCGAGATCGCGCCATTGCACTCCAGCCTGGGTAACAAAAGCGAAACTCCGTCTCAAAAAAAAAAAAAAAAGATTAGTGTGTTAGAGAGATGAAAGATAATTCCACTAGGCTCTGGGAAGGCCACTGTCTCTCTACCCTCTCAGGAGTGGGGCAAAGAGGCCCACGCTGGGCCATTTGCACAGTGGTGGAAACTGAGGCCCAGGGAAGCATGGGGCCTCAGTAGTAAGCCTGCTTAGTAGGGCGCTGGAATCCTTGGTCTCTGCCTCAGTCTACCTGGCCACCAGGGAGTGTGTAGTGTGGGGTGTGGTCCTCAAACAGACACTGTCCAAAGGCCCTGAAGCTTTGGGACAGTGTCTGCTGCTGAGTTTTAGCTCTCCAGTTTACAGGAAAGTTCCCGGCACCTACAGTAAATGCTGTTGAATGAATTAAAGATTCCTTGGAGATTCTTGGGGCATTGCATAGCAAGGACTGAGCGAGGCAAGGTTGAGAGTAGTGCTCAGGGGCAGGAGCACAGTGGTGTTTAAGAATATGGGCTCTGCAGTTAGACTGCCTGAGTCTGGCTGTACTACTTAACTGTGTGACCCTGGGCAAGTTACTTTGTCTCCCTGTGACTCAGTTTCCTCACTCACAAATAGGAATTGTTCTGAGGATACAAAGATGAAGTGACTAACATAGTATTCTGCATATAGTAAACACTGGAAAAGACCATTATTGGGCTAAACAGTTGCAGTGGGGATGGGGCATAACGGAGAGATGCTTCATGGGTTGAATCAATCCAACTATGTTGGCTGGATGTGAGAGAAGGAGGAATGTGGAGTATCAGGCTCCTTGCTTTGGCAGTGGTGGAGCTCTGGGAGCAGGGAGCTGAGGAGCAGTGCAGGAGGAAGGGCCACCTGGGGCAGGAAGGGAGTTTTGGACACAGAATATGAGGTTCCTGTGAAGATCCTAGAAACCATGGGCTTACCTTGTGTAGAGCTCAGCAAAGAGGTCGAGGTGGGGAAAATCAAGCCCAGAGTCAAAGCCTGGTCCAAGAAGCCCCCTTCACCCTCCCACCCTCCTCAGCTATCCATGGGAGCCTCTGCCACCTCCTTGAAGGGAAGGGAGGAGGATTCAAGGAGGTCCACGCTCTGGCAGGAGCTCATTGTCTGGGTAGAGTGTATCAAGGGGGCCTGCTGTTCAGTTTCCACCATCTGTACCACGGTGTGGGCAAATGACTATGGATGTGAGTTCTTCCTCCTTTATAGGAGCTGTCAGTAGGTTTCAGAGGCAGGACTGCCGAGTGATAAAGCACACAGGTAGACACCACCTGGGCAGGGTCACTCACTGCTCTACCACTTCCTAGTGTGGAACCTTGGGCAAGTCATTTAACCTCTTTGTGCCTCAAGTCCCTCATCTGTAAAATGGGATAACGATAATAACAATCCTGTCTCATAGGGTTATTGTGACAATTAAATCAGTGAACAGATATATAAAGTATCAAGAACAGGGCCTGGTGCATGTTGACTATTGTTATTATTATTTATCTGTCCTAACACACCTGCCAGGCATTTAATGACAGTTAGAGGAGGGTGGAGGCGGTACCAGGACATGGCATGATTGTCTCCAAGATGACTCACCATCTTGTTTGGATGCGTTCCTCAGACATGCTCCCAGTCTGCTGCCCTTCTAGGCCTCAGCCTTGATCAAATATCTGCTGAGCAGTAATTCTACTGGCCAGTCCCAATCCAGGACCCTGAGAAGGGAGAAACATGCCCCGTCATCTGCCTTGATGGCAGGCTGGGGGCCTTACCTTTTAGAGAGAAGATGAGCTAGCAATGGAAGTGGAAGATCTAATCCCTAACATCTCTCCAGAGACCACCTAGGAGACAATAGGTGATCACTCCAGGGCCCCTTCGGTCTCCCCAGAGATGGGGAATGAGAAAGAGATGGAAAAAGGAAAGGCAAGAGTAGTGTTGAAGGGGAACACAGATGGGGGAGTGGGTTTGCGACACTCATTTTCACTGATTTGAACGACTTTCTTTGGATCCTTGGCTCTCTGAGGCTCCCCCACACCTCTGCACAAACATATTTGATTTTCTTTTTCTGAGTAGCCTCTCCTAGGCAGTCTAGTCTATCTTAGAAGAACAAACAGAATGCATCAAGATATGCAGTACAGCATGGGGAGTACGTGGAGCTGGACAGCCTGGATTCATGCCCCAGCTCTACCAATTACTAGTTGTGTGACTTTGGCAAGTTACTTAATATCCCTGAGCCTCAGTTCCCCCATCTGTAAAGTGAGGATAACAGAAGTACCTACCTCACAGGATCGTGGCAGTTATTAAACCCATGGAAAGCACTTGAAACAGAGCCCACACATAATTAGCTTTTGTGGCTCTGCTGAAATGTCTACAGGTATACAAGTGTCCTGCCTCACCCCTCAGCAACTTTTCCACCTGCCCAGAGTAACGGCAGCAAGAATCAGAAATAGGGGACCCCTTTCTGATCCTACTGTCAGTCTCAGGAAGCCTTTCCGAAAGAACTTCTAGTCCAGGCCACTGGCCGCAGCAACCTGAAACTCACAGCTCCACCCCGCAACTCTTCCTCCTGCATACCTGTGACTCCCAATTCGTTATCCTTTCCCGCCAGTTTCCAGGCTGTTCTTCCTTCTTCCAGATTACCAGAACTTGGTTGAATGGATTTGGGTCTGAGGTCAGATTCATTTTCCGGCTTCCCTCCTTCCCTGGAAAGGCATTTAAAACTCCACCAGCGTTTCTTAACGTGTGGACACAGCGGATGACCTGAGGTATCTGTTCAAAATACAGATTGTTCCATTTCATGCCAACAGGATTGAACATGAATTGGTGCGGATGGAGCCTGCATTTTAGTAAGTTTCTGGGAAACATTTTTTATACGCATATACATTAAAATTGAGATTTTAATCACAATTAAAATTCCTCTCCCTACTTCCAAGAAAATAATCATTGGTGGAGGATGGGGGCTTGGCATTCCAAAATTGGGGGCATAGGCTTTTTAGAGATAATTCTTCCCAGTATGGGCAGGCTTAACAGCAAAGGGAAAAGGAAAGAGAAGGGGCAAAAGTCCTACGGGGCGTGGGTTTCCTTCCAAATCCTCATTTTCGTCCTGAGCAATCACGGGGCACCAAGCGAGCCTCTGTCCCCGGCCACTGTCTCTCCACCTTCTCAGGAGTGGCGCAAAGAGGCCAGCGCTGGGCCATTTGCACAATGGTGAAAACTGAGGCCCAGGGAAGCGTGGGGCCTCGGTAGCGAGGCGCTAGAATCCCGGTCTCTGCCTCAACCTACCCGGCCACCAGGGAGCGCGCGGTGGGGGGCGGGGGGGCGGTCCTCGAACACCTCCTGCTCCCCTGGAAGCTCTGCTACAACCCCAATCTCCTCTTAGGACCACGAATCCCGCCCCTATCCGTTCCGGAGAGCGGTCCTTCCTCTCCAGCCTGTTTCCTCAACTGCGCCCGTCGTGTGTGTGCTGGGGCAGGGGGCAGGGGGGGCGTGGGTCTGGGAACGCAACTGCGGGAGGCAAGGCAGCGGGATTCCCCGCAGGAAGGCCGCCTAGTCCCTCCCCCGGGCAGCCGCAGACCCTGAATCGAAACAGGAGGCAGACGCCCCCGGCCGGGAAGCGGCCCCGGCCCGGATTTCCCTGCCGGGTGGGGCCGCAGTGACTCACCCCTCCCCCCTTTCCCCGGTTTCCTTGTTTGCATTTCTCCTCCCGGCCACGTGGCGGCCAATGCAGCCACTCACCGCCCCATCCCAGACACGCCGGCCTCCGCGGCCCCCGCACACACCTCGGGGCCGCTCCTGCCCTCTGAGGATGCTCGGGGCGCAAGCTGGTGTCCACTCTCCGTATTCCGAGGGGCAGACTCCAACGCCGGCCGGTGCCCGCCCCCTTCCCCTACGCTCTCCCCTGCCGTAAGGCAGGGCGCCTCCTCCCCGCCCCCTCCGCCAGTCCGGGGGAGGGGAAGGGGGCGGGCGGTGCAGGGGGTGTGACAGCTCCCGCCCGGACCGGTGCCAGCTGCAGCCTTGCTTCAGCGCCCGGTGCCAGCTGGCTCCTTCGTCTGGGACGAAGGCGGAGGCTCGGGGCTCCTTGTAGCCGGTGGCGGTGGGGGGATCGTCCCCCGCCCCCACGTTCCCAACCCTCTATTCACCCAAGAGGAGCCTCTGCACCGAGCCCTACATCCTGCTGCCCTGGCAGCCGGTCCAACTAGCCACTGGCCCCGTTCACTGTACCTGGACTTACCCACTGGCTCTCTCCGGATCCCCTTATCAAAGCGGATGGGGGTCGCTGGGGAACCCCCAGCCTTTTGCTAGAGCCTGCAGGGCTGTGCGAGCTTGAAAAGAAACATGAAGGTGGGTAAGGTGGGTCAGGGTTGAGGAGGAGCAGGAGGGGGCGGGAGAGGAAGCTGACACGGTGGGGAGTTTGGGTGGGAGAGAGAGGGTTGGTCAGGGCTGAGGAGGAGGGGAGAAGGATTTGATCCGAAGCTGCATTTCTGGGGACCCGGTGAATCTATAGCCTCATGCTGGGAGGTGGTGGAGATCCCTGCAGGGGCATGGACAGTGAGATGGGACAGAACTCCAAAGAGGGCTAAGAAGGGCCCGATCTTTTCCAAGAGCCAGCTGGGGACCCCTAAGTGCGCCAGACCGGGCCCCAGTGAAGGTCTTCCTGTTCCTCCCCCAGCTCCTGGCAGGGTAGCAGCACCTCCGCCTGACCAGTCCAGAGAACTCTAAGGAAGTAGTTCTGCCTGGGGCAGTTGTAGTATGGTCCAGCTGTCCCAGTCGCGTCTCATGGCTGTCCACTTTCCTCCTTGTGTCACAGGTGGGCTGGCCAGGTGAGAGCTGCTGGCAGGTGGGCCTGGCTGTGGAGGATAGCCCAGCTCTGGGCGCACCGCAGGTGGGAGCCCTCCCTGACGTGGTCCCGGAGGGGACACTGCTCAACATGGTGTTGAGGAGGATGCACCGGCCCCGAAGCTGCTCCTACCAGCTGCTGCTGGAGCACCGGCGTCCGAGCCGCATCCAGGGGCTGCGCTGGGTGAGTACCTTTGATCCGCCCAGGCCAGGGCCAGCACCAGGGCTAGAGGGGGGTCTGGATTGTGGCTGGGCATGCTGCAGGTGGCCCAGCTTGCTCTGGGAGTGTAGAGTGGTACAGCTGCGGTGGACAGTGGGTCAGGAAGCTTGCCTGCAGTGTGCGTGGGTGGCTCACACAGCTGCAACCTGTGTCTGTTGTGCCCAAACGTTTCTGGGCATGGGGGGAAGGGGAAAGGGATCTGTTTTTTACCTGTCACCTCTGTGAGCCAGGCATTGAGTTAGGTGCTTGCGGATACTCTCCAGGTGGGGGTGGGAGGTACTGGGGGCCAAGTCAAAGGGCAGGGGTGACGTAAGTTTGGCTACAGTTCTGGGTGCGTCACCGTGGCAACATTGTTTTTTAGTGAGCAACTGAACTGTGCCAATTCTGCATTTTGGTCTTGGGGTGAGGTGGTCATGTGGACACTGCTGGGTACCTGCCTTTGATGGGGTTTGGGGAAGGATTCTGAGACATTGGAGAATCTGAGATGACCTAAGTGCCCTTTGCCGGTGAGAAACATCTCCGGACCTGAAAGAATGAAGGAGAGAGCAGGAAGGGGAAAGAATGGTGGGGTTTGGGAGGCAAGATAATGGCTGTACCATCCAAATCAGCAGAGAAACTGTCCCCAACCATCCAGACTAAATAACTTAGCTTGAGATTCAGGTATGTCTCTACTGCATGTGTCTACCCAGGTTTCGCTATGTTGCCCAGGCTGGTCTGGAATTCCTGGGACCAAGCAATCTGCCTGTCTTGGCCTCCCAAAGTGCTAGTATTATAGGCATGACCCACCGTGCCTGCCCGGGAGAGTTTATTTCTTTCTCTCTCTGTCTCTTTCTTCTTTCTTTCTTTTTCTTCCTTCCTTTCTTCCTTTCTTTCTCTCTCTTTCTTTTCTTTCTTTCTTTCTTTTTTTTTTTTTTTTTTTTGAGACGGAGTTTCGCTCTTTTTTCCCCGGCTGGAGTGCAATGGCGCGATCTCGGCTCACCGCAACCTCCGCCTCCTGGGTTCAGGCAATTCTCCTGCCTCAGCCTCCTGAGTAGCTGGGATTACAGGCACGCGCCACCACGCCCAGCTAGTTTTTTGTATTTTTAGTAGAGACGGGGTTTCACCATGTTGACCAGGATGGTTTCGATCTCTTGACCTTGTGATCCACCCACCTCGGCCTCCCAAAGTGCTGGGATTACAGGCTTGAGCCACCGCGCCCGGCCTCTTTCTTCCTTTCTTTCCTTTTTTTACTAGAGTCTCACTCTGTCTCCAGGTTGGAGTGCACTGGCACGATCTCGGCTCATTGCAACCTCCACCTCCCAGGTTTAAGCGATTGTCCTTCTTCAGCTTTCCAAGTAGCTGGGACTACAGGTGTGTGCCACCACACCCAGCTAATTTTTGTATTTTTAGTAGAGACAGGGCTTCACCATGTTGGCCGGAATGGTCTTGATCTCTTGACATCGTGATCTGCCTACCTCGGCCTCCCAAAGTGCTGGGATTACAGGGGTGAGCCACCGTTCCCAGCCAGAAGTTCATTTCTTATTGTCAAGTCCTTTTGAGTAGAATAAATACCATCCTCTCCCTCCTTCCCCCTACCTTGCCCAACTGCCATTTACATTGAGGCTGAGTTGAAAAAAACCGAGACCCACCAAGACAAGGGGCTCCACTTTGCTATCAGAATTGAGAAGAGAATTCAGGTGTTGATCCTGGTAGAGTTGTTCTCTACCAGAGTCTTTCTTATCATGAGCCTGGGTCCTCCCCCGATACCCCTGACTCTCCGGGTCACTGGCTGCGGCTACTGCCTGGAGCCAGTGGGCTGGAACCCTCCCCTCCCTCCTTCCCTCTCAGGCTATAATTACTTGTGCATTTCCTGTCCCCTTCCCAGCTTGTAAAGGCAAGGTAGGGGGTGGGGGGAAGGTCAGGTGCCAGGACAGTGTGGTCACTGGAGGATCCCCTGGGACCAGAAGTCGGGAAGGGAGTGGAAGAGGCCACCAGGCTCTCTCCTGACTTCCCCCAGCCCCTAGAAATGAAGGGCTGGTGTGCGTGGGGAGGTCAGAAAGGTGGGGGTGAAGGTTGCTGAAGTGTAAATGGGGGCAAAGGCACAGAAACAACGCCCTTCCCTGCCAGGTGGATGTTGGTGACTAGAGGGAACTTAGATTTTTAGTGCTTAGAGGCCGGTGGCCACTCCCTCTTCTGATGACCATCTTTGGGGACTGGGGTGGGGAGGTTTCATTCCATCATGCCTATGTTTGAGAGGCTCTGGGTACCTGTGAAGCTGTACTTCTTACCTCTTGATGCTGCCTTTAGCCCAGGGAAGGCTTCTATGAGGGAGTGAGCGCCAGCTGTGAGTATGCATACCCAGGGTGAAGGGGTGGGGCCCGAGTCCCCGGAAGACAGCACTGCCAGTTATCGAAGCCAGGCCTCCCTCTTTGAAAGCCAAGGGGAAAACCCATCAACCTCCCAGAGAAGAGGTCTGAAGACAGCTCTTTCTGTTCCTGCCTAGCCCAGCACAAGAGAAAATGAAAACAGGTTGCAGCAGGAGTGCTTGCAGTTGATACAGACTAAGATAAGAAAAGTACTTAACAGCTATGGCAAAGGTGACACTGGAATGGGATGGAAGAACATCCCTGGAAAATAGAAGTGGGAGGTGAGATCTTGTCTGATGTCCAGAGGCAGGGGCAAGATCAGGGTGACCTCTGGTGGTTCTACTGGCTCAGGGAATTCTGAGATGATTCTCTTTACGTGACTGCTTTGGGGAAAGTGGCCCTATTTTGTAACTCGAAGAACACACTTTTGTCCAATCTGTCCAAAACATGGTAGGAGCTAATAGTAATACAGTACTTATGTGCCAGACATTATGGTAAGAGGTTTGCCTTTATCATATCAAAGAATTCTTGCTGGGTGCGGTGGCTCATGCCTGCAATCCCAACACTTTGGGAGGCTGAAGTGGGTGGATAACCTGAGGTCAAGAGTTCAAGACTAGCCTGGCCACCACGGTGAAACCCCATCTCTACTAAAAATACAAAAATTAGCAGGGCATGGTGGCGGTTGCCTGTAATCCCTGCTACTGTGGAGGTTGAGGTTGCAGTGAGCTGAGATTGCGCCATTGCACTCCAGTCTGGGTGACAAGAGCAAAACTCTGCCTCAAATAATAATAATCATAATTCTCACAACAGCCTTGTGAGATAGGTACTAATGTCATCATCCCCATTTTATAGATGTGAAAACCAAGGCACAGAGAGGTTAAGTGACAGGTTCAGAGTTACACAGCTGATAAGTGGCAATGCTGGGCTTTGGTCCCAGGCAATCTGGCTGCAGAGTCCAAGCTCATAACCATATAACCACCACGCTGTGCTTCTCTCCTGCTACAAATAGTAACACTGACACCCTTAAGGCCTCGCCCCACCCCATGCACCCTTCCCCTGTCCCATCACACGCAGCCCTGGCCTGAGACCTTAGCTGTGACCCAAGGGAACTGGTCTGACAGGTCTCCAGGCTGTCTGGCTCTGTGCCTGTCTCTCCAGCCCAGCTCTGACATTCAGTGACAGGGAGTGAGGGTAGGGCAGGCCACAGTGCTGGTGCCGGGGGAGTCAGCGCCTCCTCTTCCACCCTGAACCCTTTCTGTTCAGGAATGAGAGGAGGGAGTGGGTGAGGGCCTTCACCGTGACCCATATCAGCTGTTTCTTCCCAGCTAAGAACCCTGAAACTAACAGGGTATAGCTGTTGTTGTTGTTGTTGTTGTTGTTGTTGTTGTTGCACTGTGTCCCAGTAATAGGGCCCATCATGAAATGATAACATCTGATCAAGTC